CGGCCCGCAGAGCAGGCGCAGATCCGCTGCCTGCCAGAGGCTCGCGGTGCCCAGGCAGTTAGATCTGAGACCGTGCTGGGAGCAGGAGCCTGGCTGTGGAGAACGCTGGTTTCTCTCTTGGCCCTGGGATGAGAAACAAAAGGGGAGGAGGAGTTGGTGGGTAGCCACCGCCAGGTCTCAGAGTAGCCAGTCAGACGAGGTGCCATCCCTCTGTCCGGAGGCTGCAAAGTTCTTCCCCTTCCATAGAATCAGTCACAGAATCACAGGAGACCGTGCTGGGAGCAGGAGCCTGGCTGTGGAGAACGCTGGTTTCTCTCTTGGCCCTGGGATGAGAAACAAAAGGGGAGGAGGAGTTGGTGGGTAGCCACCGCCAGGTCTCAGAGTAGCCAGTCAGACGAGGTGCCATCCCTCTGTCCGGAGGCTGCAAAGTTCTTCCCCTTCCATAGAATCAGTCACAGAATCACAGGAGTGGGAGGGACCTCGCGAGGTCATGGAGTCCAGTCCCTGCCCTCATGGCAGCATCAAGCACCATTCATCATCCCTGCCAAGTGTCTGTCCAGCCTGCTCTTCAATATCCCCAGTGATGGAGATTCCACAACCCCCTGGGCAACTTATTCCAGTGTTTAACCACCCGGACAGGCAGGAAGTTGTTCCTAATGTCCAGCCTAAACCTCCCTTGCTGCAGTTTGAGCCCCTTGCTTCCTGTCCTGTCCTCAGAGGCCAAGGGAACAAGTTTTCTCCCTCCTCCTTGTGACCCCCTTTTGGGTACTTGAAAGCTGATACCACGAGGGCAGGGACTGGACTTGATAACCTCTCAAGGTCCCTTCCAGTTCCAGGATTCTAGGATTCCGTGTCTCTGCTCAGTCTTCTCTTTTCCAGACTAAACAAGCCCAGTTCTTTCAGCCTTCCCTTACAGGGCACAGCTCATGTTTGCTAGACCTTTGTTTTTCTTCTCTGGACCTTCTCCAATCTTGCCTGAAGATGCCCAGAATTGGACATAATACTGCAACTGAGGCCTAGTCAGCGCAGCGTAGAGAGGAAGAACGACTTCTCGTGTCTTGCTCACAACACTCCTGTGAATGTGTGGTGGCACATCGGGGACCCCCCGATCCTGCACCCCAGCCACAGCAAGATGAGACTCCCCCAGCCAATAAAGAGGGTTTATTGCTTCTCCAGGATACAGCCCAGCACAGACATGACGTGGTTAGAGGAGTCAGGGCCAGGCAGCCTGAGACCCCTTGGGGTGGGGTCCCCAGGCCCCTGACCCCTCAATACTCAGCTTAGTCTCCTCTCTTCATGTCATCCCAGCAAAAACTTCCCAGCTCCCAGGCCCTGCCCCCCAGCCAGGTGGCCGCCTCCGCCTCCCTTCCTTTGTCTCTCCTCCTGGGAAGAGCCTTTTTATCTGCTCAGGCTGGGACTAGGTGTCTGGGCCAATCCACGTGTGGGTGAGTCAGTGGGAATCTCACAGCCCAGCGCAGGGGGCCCCGGGTCACAGAGCAGACAGCCCCCCTGCATCCCAGAATCACGTTTGCTTGTTTTGCAGCAGCGTCACACTGTTGACTCCTATTTAGCTTGTGGTCCACTATGACCCTAGATCCCTTTCTGCCGGACTCCTTCCTAGACAGTCACTTCCCCTTCTGTGTGTGTGACACTGATTGCTCCTTCCTAAGTGGAGCACTTTGCATTTGTCCTTCTTAAACTTCATCCTGTTCACCTCAGACCATTTCTCCAGTTTGTCCAGGTCATTTTGAATGTTGACCCTATCGTCCAAAGCACTCGCAACCCCTCCCAGCTTGGTATCATCTGCAGACTTTTTAAGTGCACTCCCTATGCCAGCATCTTAATCAGGGGTGGGAAATCTAGGGCCTGGGGGTCTGCTGCAGCTTGCCTGGATAAGGCCTGGGAGGCTCAGGGCTCTGCTCCCCCCCACCACCCGCCACGGGGGCCGTAGCTGGAGCAGCAGGAGACAAGGGGGTGGGGTGGGGTGGGGGGATGCGCTGGGACCCCCTGCCTCTCTGTGTTAAGCTGTGGACGCTCTGAGTCCCTGGGGCTGGGCCTTGGGCCAAGGCACAGGGCGGAGGAGCTGGTGGCTTGGAGGTACTGAGAGTCCTGGAGAGTAGCTCAGCCCTGCCCTGCCCTGCAGTCCTTCCCCAGGCCTGGCCCACCGCTGCCAGTGTCAGGAATCCCCAGAGAGCTGCATCCAGGAGCGGGGCCAGCTGCTCCATTCTGCATCCCCGGCCCCTTCCCTAGGAGCCCCCGTCCATCTACCCACTGCAGCCCCCAAGTCCCCCTTGACCAGGCCACGGCTCATACTCCCGGTGCCCTTGCAGTCCTGCGCGATGACTTCCGGCAGGCCCCCAGCGACGTGGTGCTGGAGTGCGTGCCACCCCGTGGGCACCCCGAGCCCACCATCTCCTGGAAGAAGAACAGCGTCCGCATCAGCGACAAAGACGAGCGCATCACGGTGAGGCCTGACCCTCCCCAGGGGCAGGCGGGGTGGGGTGCTGGCATGTCCCGCAGGGGGCTGAGGCAGCGAGCCTCAAGGGCATCACTAGGGCATCTGCCGTGGGGAGGCAAGAGTAGCTCACGGGGGCATCTGTCCTGCAGGGCAGGGGGTGTCTGTCTCATGGGGAGGGGCCAGTAGGGAGGGGTCCTGGAAACCGTTAGTACCTTGGGAGTAGCTTTTGGCAGGGAGGCGGGTGGGAGTGGCTCTCTGGGGGTTTCATTGGGAGGTGATAGGGAGGGGTCTGCG